ATTCTCACAGGGAGCTTATTTTACCCTTTTATAAATAAAGATTTTGTACTAAAAATGCTTTGGAAAGCTCTCAGGGACAATTCCACTATTCATGTGCAGTATTACAGATTGTGAGGGAAGGTGAGAAATGAATGATATTTAACTCTACTGACTGTGAAGATTTTGTAAGCATGAGAGAAAAATATGTCCACGTGAGCCTAGAGAGAAAGTAGGCAAACGTGAAATCAATTAAATATACTTTCTATGTGCTTTTCTCTTGATTCCCCTAGAACTCTGGCTTGGTGAGATAAAAAGAACACGGGCAGCTTTCAGCTAAGTACTTCATAGATGTTAATTTGCTTAATCTCTATAAAGACTCACTTTTTCCAGCTAAGAAAATCAATCGTAAGAGAGGTCAAGCGACTTATCCAGGGTCAGTGTTAGAGAGTGATGGTGTTGGGGTTAACTTCATGTTTTTAACCACCATACTACACCATGTCCCACTGGGAGTATCCTGCCAAAGACTGGAAATCCCTAGTCGTCCAGAAAGCAGCTGACCAATAGATTGCCCAGATAGTTCAATCTCTTCATTTTACAGGTGAGGAAACTAAGGCTAAAATGAGAAAGGCACTCCTCAGGGTTAGAGAGCTGAGGCTAGAATGTAAGGTTCCTGAATCTCAGTTTACGCATTGTCATTTCCTCTTCTTCGTGGGTGCAAAATGGAATGGACCTTCTTTCCCTCCAAAACCTTTTTTTCAGGGAGTTCCAACCATATTCCAGATTCCAGGAGCAGAGCCACAAACTATTCCAGCCATTTGCCAACTCTAGCTGCTCCATAGAGTCATTTAGAGAAGATTTTTTTTTTTTTAAAGTAACAAAGCCAGAGTACCACTCAAAAGAATTTTATGTTTTGGTTTGGAATGGAACCAGAACTCTACATTTCCTCAGTTTAAATGAATTCTAGGATTCTCAAAATTAGCATGGACACAACAGCTCTCTTCACTTCTAACTCCTCAGCTTAAAGAAACCTAAGTGAACCCTGCTCATATCCAAATCTTTTTAGATGTCAGTAAATAGCACCACCAGGTCAGAAATTTAGCATTTATCTTTGATTTCTCTCTTTCCTTTCCATCTACATCCAATCCATCAGCTCAAGTCAGGTGTTAGATAATTGTTTATGAGATAGATAAATGCATGTGCCTCAATGTAGGTTCTCATTTGGAAGGGTAACCGTTTTTAAGTTGTATTCTTTGTGTGTACATACACACATACACTCTTTTCGAGACTGTTTCTTCTCCCATTTCTATGTATCTTTGAGAGCTCAAGCTCCTTTCTAACAGGGTTGAGCTTCAGGCTTTCTGCTCAGCCATGTTGGTCCAAATGACACCATAATGAAGGGTTGGGCTGCTTTTGAGCTCTCACATTTTCCAATTTTATTCTTCCCTTCCATCCTTCCTGCCTTTCTAGTCATTGGCATATACACAGTGAATTTGTGCGGCTCTGAGGAGAATTCTCTGCTCTGGAAAGAGCTGATAAAGAAAGGTTCTTTAAAGTGATAATCACCACTTTTTAGTCAAGCAAGCAATAAATGGTTTTTGAGATTGATTAAACAAACAAGTCAAGCAGAGGCCTCTGGTGGGTCACAGGCACTGTCTATCTGGATTATACTGCCACAAAGAAAGGGCACCTTTCTGGTTCCCACACCACAATCTCACACACCCTCATGTGAATAGTCTTCACAACCTTGGGCTATGACCACACATGTTGCAAACTTGACTGCAGATAACAACTTAAAAGTCAGGGAACTATAGAAGGAGATTTTCTTCTTTCTGATAATCACATGGGCAGGCACAGTGTTTCAAAGTTTGTGCTTTGTATTTTATCTGATAAATAAAAAGTTTCAGGAGCAATGCTATCGGAAATACATATGAGCCACACAGATGAAATTTGAAATTTCCCAGCAGCAACATTAAAAATATCATAGTAAGAACAGGTGAGATTAGTTTTAATATTTAATTTGTCCCAATATGTCAGACATCATTTCTACATGTAATAAATATAAAGATTATTAATGAGATATTTTTCATTTTTTATAGTAAATTTTCAAAGTCCAGTGTGTATTTCATGCTTCTAACACATCTCAATTTGGATGCTAAATTTTCAATAGTGTCAAGTGAAATACAGTTCTACCAAAGCAATAAAGTTACAGTTAATGTAAAATATTTAAATTTTAATTAGGTTAATTTAACCTAAATTAAATTGAAAATTTAGTTCCTAAGTCATGCTATCCACATTTCAAACACTTAATATTCATGGGTGGCTTATAGCCACTATATTGGGCATCTCATCTCTAGAGACTTAGAATATGGCATATATACCCTTTATAGTATTCACAGGACCTCATGGAACATCCAAACCTCATTAAATTTTATTGAGTTCTTATTAGCTAATAAAATTATTTCAAAAAACAAACCACTAAAACAAACCAAAGAAAACTATATAAGGTTCAGAATAAGAAAGAAGAGCAAGTTTGTTTTACATCTCATAACTCAACTTATTCATCTGTGAATGATAACAATAAGTTCCTAGGTACTTCCAAAAGTATATCTGTGAAAAATTGATTCAAGAGCAAGCAAGTTTGGAAAATGCTCCATAAAAATCCATATCGCCAGAGATTCACACAACAGAATAAAGTTCTATTTTCCCTCCTGCATCAGGTATTGAGAATAAGCCTTGTCTCATGCTATGCACTCATTTTTTGTCTACAACTATCTTCCTTTCTCTTTGTCCTTGTTTAGCAATGTAGTAAGTGAGTATGAGCTCATGACCCAATAGAAGTTGCAAATGTTTTATAGTAGCCTACCTCTTTTGCCTAAAGTAGTCATCACCCCAACCAAATTCTGTGTTCATGATTCCCTGTCTTTCACATGGTACAGTTTTATATAACATGTATAGTTAAAATGTGATATATAATTTGTTGCCTACACATAGTCACATAGTATAAGTTATCATGCTATATGTAATTTTAAAACTTGCTAGACCCTAAGTCAGATTAAAAAATCCGTTAGATATCTCTCGTTCAATCTTTGTTCAAGCCCTTGCCATCTCTAAATAGACTACTACATTATTCTTCTAAATACATTCTGCCTAACTTCAATCTTTCCTCTCTTCAGTTTATCTTCTGCACTGCCTTTATAGTCACATTTCTAAAACATAAACTTGATCACATAATCCTCCTGTTTAATATCTTTTAGAGATGCCCCAATCACTAAAGAATAAAGTCCAAAATCATTATAAGACTGTGTTAGATATTTTTAAAATTTCCATAGGTTTCCTATTCCAGTCGACCTATTCCTTTCTCCATTCTCTTTAATACATAGGCTAGTTTATAACTTGCTTTAATCAATAGAAATGTGGCACAAATGACAACACAAATTCTGAAGTGAGGCTTAAGAGGCCTTGCATTTTCTGCCTTTGATCTTTTGGAACACTTCTCTGAGACAGCCATGAGAAGAAACTATGAGAGGCCATGTAGAGAAAAATCAAGGTATCCCAGCCAAAAGACAGCACCAGGGGCCACATAGTTGAAAGAGATCATCTTGCACCTTCATGCCTAGACAAATATCCAGCTATAATGAGTTACATGAGTGAATCCAGGTAAAATCAGCACAAGATTCTCTGAATTGACCCACAAAATGATCAGAAATTAAAAAGTCATGGTTGTTTTAATTCACTAAAAGTTGTGGAGTGATTTGTTTTATAGCAATGGATAACTTGTAAGACTCTTTACTAAGACCTCAGACACGTTGATAGTTGTGGGTAGCAAAACCTGTTAGGCAAAAAAGGGCTTCCAACGACTTTTGTATCCTCTCAGGTAGAAATAGATGGAGCCTTGACTTAAACATAATAATGGATACGGCTTTCAGGGCATAGAGTGACTCTCCCATAAGGTTCATAGAAACCCCACAAAGTTTTAGAGGTAATTTTATCAGTGAAAATACTGGTAGGTTAAATTAAAAAGGGCAAACATAGTTCAATATGGGCCCCTAATTTCGTATATTCAGAAGTCAGGCTACCAAAAAGCTAAACATCTACAAACTTAGGTCATTTGTTTTCTTTTGTTTTTAACAGGTTTATTGAGATATAATTCACATGCCACACAATTCACTCATTTAAAGTGTAGAATACAATGGTTCTTAGTATATTCATATATTTTAAAACCATCATAACAGTCAAATTTAGGAAATTTTCATCACATTAAAAAAATTACCCATTACCTATCATTTCCCATCCTCCCATCCTTCCCATCCCTAAGCAATCATTAACCTACTTTCCATATCTATAGGGTTGCTTATTCTGGATATTTTACATAAATGGATCACATAATATGTGATCTGTTTTCACTGGCCTTTTTCACTTACTATAATGTATTCAAAGTCCATCCACATTATACCATGTATCAGAACTTTATTCCTTTTTATGGGCAAATGATATTCCATTGTCTGGATATATCACATTGTGTTTATCCATTAAACAGATGATGGACACTTGGGTTGATTTTACCATTTGGCTGTTTTGAATATTGGTGCTATAAACATTTGTGTTCAAGTTGTTGTGTATATACATATGTTTTCATTTCATTTGACTATGTATCTAGGAGTAAAATTTCTGAGTCATATGATAAAATCTATGTTTAATTATTTGAGGAAATTACTAGATTGTTTTCCAAATTTCCTTCACTATACACATTTCCACCAACAGCCTATGAGGATTCAGATTTCTACACATCCTAGTCAACACATGTTATTATCTGATGTTTTAATTCTAGCCACCTTATGGGTATGAAGTAGTATTTCATTGTAGTTTTGATTTGTGTTTACTTGATGACTAGTGAAGCCAAGCATATTTTCAAATGCTTATTGGCCATTTGTTTATCTGTCTTGGAAAAAATATTTCTTTAGATCCTTTGCCATTTTTAATAACACATATTATTCATATTTATCTTTTTTATTATTGATTTGTAAGAGTTCCTTATATATTTTAGACACAAATTCTTTATTAGACATATAATTTGCAAATATCTCTACAGTCTGTTTGCCTTTTCACTTACTTGATAGTATCCTTTGAAGAACAACAGTTTTTAATTTTGATGAAGCTCAATTTATGAATTATTTTCTTTTTTTGCTTGTGTTTTTGGTGTCATATCTAAAAGTTCATTGCCACATCTGAGATAATAAAGATTTATACTACCCCTATGTTTTCTTCTAAGATTTTTATAATTTAGCTCTTATATTTAGATCTTTCATACATTTTGAATTTTTTAAATACATATTGTGAGGTAAAGATTCAACTTCACTCTTTTGCTTGTGGCTATCATGTTTTCTCAGAACTATTTGTCAAAAAGAATATCCTTTCCTGTCGATGGTCTTGGCACCCTTCTCAAAAGTCAGTTGACCACAGACACCTGTATGCACGACTCTTATCGGAGTCATGAGGAAAAGTGGACAGGAAGTCTTACCTAAATTTTACAGAGAAGAGTGCTTTTGTTGAAGTAAGTCTTTTTTCCTAATACAAGGATGTGGAAGATTTCTTAACCATCACTGTTTTCTAGAAACACAGAGCTCAGATAAAGTGCAACATTGTCAGTCCCTCCTTTTGTTCGACATGAATGAATATAATAGACTGCTGAACAACTAAGAGACAAACATAAACCTCCCGAGTGGAATGATGCAGGATCTAATAAAAAATCTCTCCAGGGATCTTTCTGGTGTTGTTCCTACAAAATAAATTGAACCGTCTGATGAGAGGTGATAGCAAAGGTCAGTTGTTTTTGAATCCTGAAGTGCAGGTGTCTTAAGCAAGTATGCCTGAAATGAAAAAGAGAAATATTAATGTAAAAGGTTGAACTAAAGCAAATAGCCAGGGGTCGCACCCCGAGAGTCACAAGTTTATTTTCTTCCAAGAGGTTGGTGGAAGAAAATCTTTAGATATAAGCAGAACTGCTATAAAATTACCAGCTAACCAATGAGTTATACATACACACACACACACACATATATATATATGGATTTCTATTAGTCTCTTTCAGATGGCAAGTATTTGGCCCATTTCCCTAATAAGGTTGTTGAATATAAATTTAGAATTACACAGTGTTTGATCAATAGATTGTAATCATTTTTTTCTTTTTTAGGAGAGATGGACACTAGTAAAGTCACAGGTTGATTTGTTTAACCACTTCGGTACGGCGCTCACTGGCTGCGAACCCTTACCCACAGCCGGCACTCATAGTCTGTACGATAGTTTGTGCTGTGCATTGACGACGAATCTGTTTTGCTCTTGTGTGACGAGGAAAGCTTTACCTGAAAGATTGTTTTATTTTACAGGCAGCTTTACTTGTAATGTAAATCAGAATAGGTAACATATACATATATGTTTTCATTACATTATTTTTAAATGTTCACAATTTTATTTTGAGAAATGAAAAATTAGAAAAGTCATATCACGGCTGTTGGCTAAAGTCGCTGTGCGCGTTCATCTGTCGACTACAGTTGACACTGGTACCGAAGTGGTTAAGGGGACTTTTCCACATAGGGGCAAGTAGAAACACTATGAGCTATAATCCCTTATGGTCTTATTTGGCGAGACTGGAATTTCCCAGAGGATTTTATAATTGGTGTAGGTGATGAATAAAACACCCAGCAGTCAATAAGACTCAGGGAGTGGCCAATGTCTGTGTCAAACTAATAATGGTATTAGAATAAATATGTCCTGACCTAACAATTACAATAAGAAAGAAAGAAAAGAGGAAAAGGGCGATGATGTGTAGATGACAAGCAAGGGCCTATAGAAAAATGAGAAGAATTATCATTAGTAAGTAGATTTTAAAAATACAGGAATTGTATAGGAGTCTTGGTCCAGCATTTGGGCAAAAGCTGTTCACTGTCTGAAATCATCTGCTTGTTGTAAAGGTCTTTGGGTTAGTTGTCTCCTTCCAATAATCACCTGTATCTACAGGATCTCTGAGCATCCTCAAGTTAAAGTGCCCTATTAGAGAAGCCTTCCAATTGTGTGGAATCCTGAATTGCCCCAAGCATTGACTCTGTGGAGTTTCACTACTGATTTTGTTGTTAACAGTACCTGATAAGGTCCCTTTCATTTTCTCCTGATGTCTCTTCTTCTGATGTCTCTTCCAACAGATGAAATATTCTGGCTGAAGATCAAAATGAAGAAGCATTTTAGTAAAATCTTGTGCAAAGGTAGCCTTAACCCTTTGATGATAGGACTGGGTATGGTACATGAGCCCCTTGCAATATTTTGCCATGTTACCATGCAGCAAGGCAGTCTAGTAACAGAGGTAAAAATCTCTAAATGCATGAGCCTGCCAGTTACCAATTCATAGGGAGATAACCAGTGTGTTCCTGAGTGAGTGGACCATATAGCCATAAGAGCTAGTGGGAATACTTTCGGCCAAGGGAACTCAAGAGCTTTGAGGTCACAGGTCTTTTCAACTTTTCTCAGAAAATTGTGGGTACTCAGTATGGTATTGTTTTTTGAGTAAGGAATAATGTTGTACACGATTCTTTTATAATGGTGAATGCCCCATGAATTGATATAAAAGTTGAGATGCCCCAGGTTAGAGACACAAAATCAAGCAGCATTTTTAATAACTATAAGTGCTGTAACTTTCCAACAAGGAAATGCAGCAGGCAGCTCATCCTGAAAATAGATATACAATAACCAAAACATATCTAAATCCCATAGAGGCTACAAGCTGCATAAAATCCATCTCAAGGTGTTCAAAGTGCCATTGAGGCTTTGGGTCCTGGCCATGTTTCACCTTTACAAGTTTTTTCAGGATTGTGTTATTGATAGTGTTATTGTTATTGATTGTGACACATGACCTGAAAATAACCTCAGCTGTCTTTAAAAAGTTTCCTCACTAATGGTGATTTAAAATACTAATCAATTTATCTATTCCATGATGAGTAATTTCATATAGAAATTTAGTTAATATCCACTTGAAATGATCTGGTGCCACAAGCAGCCACTTTGAGAGTGCCAAAGATTATCTCAGTAAAGGGAATAACCAGACATTTTTCCCATTCTTGTTTTTCAAAATCACACAAGAAAATTTTTTTATTTCTTTTTATTATTTCAGCATATTATGGGAGTACAAATGTTAATGTTATGTATATTGCCCTTGTCCCCCCTCCCCCTTGGGTCAGAGCTTCAAGCATGTCCATTCCTCAGACGGTGCTCATAGCACTCATTATGTATGTATATACTCATCCCCTCCTCCCCCCTGCCACCTGCGCAATGTCCAATAAATGTTATTCCTATATGTCCACTTAGGTGTTAATCAGTGAAATCAATTTGCTAGTGAGTACATGTGGTGCTTATCTTTCCATTCTTGGATAACTTCACTTAGTAGAATGGTTCCAGCTCTATCCAGGAAAATACAAGAGGTGCTATATCACCGTTGTTTCTTATAGCTGAATTTACTCCATGGTATACATATACCACATTTTATTAATCCACTCATGTATTGATGGACACTTCGGTTGTTTCCAGATCTTTGCAATTGTGAATTGTGCTGCTATAAACATTCGAGTGCACAGTCTTTTTCATAGAGTGACTTTTGTTCTTTTGAGTAGATGCCCAATAATGGGATTGCTGGATCAAATGGTAGATCAACTTGTATCGCTTTAAGGTATCTCCATATTGCTTTCCACAGAGGTTGAACTAGTCTGCAGTCCCACCAGCAGTGTAGGAGTGTTCCTATTTCTCCACATCCATCCCAACATTTATTGTTTTGGGACTTATTAATAAGGGCCATTCTCACTGGAGATAAGTGATATCTCATTGTGGTTTTGATTTGCATTTCCCTGATGATTAGAGATGTTGAACATTTTTTCATATGTTTGTTGGCCATTTTTCTGTCTTCTTTTGGAAAGTTTCTGTTCATGGCCTTTGCCCACTTTTTGATAGAGTTGTTGGATTTTTTTCTTGCTGATTTTCTTGAGTTCTAAATAGATTCTAGTTATCAGCCCTTTATTGGATGTGTAGCTTGCGAAAATTTTCTCCCATTCTGTAGGTTGTCTGTTTGCTCTCTTGACAGTTTCTTTGGCTGTGCAGAAGCTTTTTAATTTAATCAGGTCCCATTTGTTTATTTTTGTTGATGCTGTGACTGCCTTCAGGGTCTTCTTCATAAATTCTTTGCCTAGGCCAATGTCTAGAAAAGTATTTCCAACGTTTTCCTCTAGAATTCTAATAGTTTCACACCTTAGGTTTAAGTCTGTTACTCAGCATGAGTTGATTTTTGTGAGAGGTGAAAGGTGTGGGTCCTGTTTCAGTCTTCTACATGTGGCTATCCAGTTTTCCCAGCACCGCTTATTGAATAGGATTCTTTTCCCCAGTGTATGTTTTTGTCTGCTTTGTCAAAGATTAGATGGCTATATGAGGATGGTTTTATATCTGGGTTCTCTGTTCTGTTCCACTGGTCAATATCCCTGTTCTTGTGTCAGTATACAGCTGCTTTAATTACTATAGCCTTGTAGTATAGTTTGAAGTCTGGTAAATTGATATCTCCCATTTAGTTTTTATTGTCTAGGATTACTTTTGCTATACGGGTTCTTCTCTAGTTCTATACGAAGCATAAAATTATTTTTTTATATATCTGTGAAAAATGGTGATGGTATTTTAAAAGGGATTGCATTGACTCTGTAGATCACTTTGGGTAGTATAGACATTTTAACAATGTTGATTCTGCCGACCCATGAACATGGTATGGTCTTCCACCTGTTTATATCCTCTGCTATTTCCTTACTCCACACCAGAAATTTATACTTTGAGAGTTTTAATAGGATCATTATTTTGGTTAAGGTACCTCATCTAGCATACATTATCTCCTGTATTTTGTCTCTCTTTATATGGCCCCCAACCTCTATAACAGCCATCTCTCTAGGTAATAAAAGTACATCTAAAAGTTATTTAACTTATGGTACATTTTTAGAGAAGCATAGCAGATGTAAGAAACCTCCCTTGTCATGAAAGCAGAACAAAGTCATGTACTACTCCAAAATCATATCTGCTATCTATCTATCCGTCTATCATCTATCTGTGTTTCTATCTATTTATCCTCTGGTATTTAGCTAATTGGCATACCCTGTAAGTTCTGCCAACTGGGCTGATTTTACTTCTGATAGAGGACTCTATTCTAAAGACCCAACTCCTTAAATTACTGATAGCATATCCTGCTTAATAACCTCCAGTTTCAGTTTTAAAGGATGGTTCATCAACAAATAATAACATTAGCTCAGGTTTCTCAATGGGATCTCTAATACATCTGAATGAGGCACATAAAGATCCCTAATGGCAGTGAGACAATCATGATGTCTCCTTATTTTACGAAGGGTAGGACAGTGGCAGGATTCAGTGTATTGCAGTTGTAAATAGTAATATGAGAGAGAGAAAGAATATTAGAGGTTAGTCAACTGGCTGAAAACTGTTGTATATACTCAGGCTGTAGTAAAGTCTGCATTGCTCAAGGAACCATGAGGTCAAGCAGAGACTATAGGACTAGTGTACAGAAGCATCAAAAAGTTTTGCTTCTGCACCTGTTGCCCTAAGTCACGGGAGATAAGCATTTAAAACCAAGTCAAGGTTGGGGCTATAGTAAGCAATTGGTTTTTCATGGATTCCATGAAATGGAGTTAAAACCCATTGGCATGTCCAGATTGCTCATGCATTAATTGATGAAATTCCTTTTTGTAGTTAGGGATGCCTAAGGAAGGAGGCTGTTGGGCAGTCACTTAAGGCTACAGAAGGCCTATTCATGTTTAGGGTCCCAGATCAGAGTGTCTTAGCCAACTCACAAAGAGATTTCATGATCACTGAAAAAATTGGCACTAATTCTCTGCAATATCTAGATAAACCTAGAAATCCCCTCAGTTGCAATCTTGAAAGGGGTATATTGTAAATTTTGATAGTCTTTAATCTGTCAGTAGAGAGGTTTTTCCCTCTTCCTAAAATAGATCATGTCCCAAATAATGGACTGCATTCTGGAAAATTTATAGTTTATCTTTTGAAACATTATGTTCCTTTTCTGCTAGAGCTGACAGCAAGCAAATGGAATTCTTTGTATAGGCTTCCTTATTTACTGAACAAAGTAGGAGATCATCTAGATATTATAGTATAACTGAATCACAAGAAAGATCTATACATTTTGTAAATTTTGATTGAGGCCCTGGGAAAAATAGGAGGGGGCTTCAGTGAACCCCCGTAGCCTGACTTTACCCTCCCCAGGTTAAGGCAAAAAGGTTATCTCCTGGTCTAGAGGCACAATCAATAAAGGCAGAACAGAGATCCACTATAGTGAAGCAAGCGGCTTTAGACAGAATTGATGACAAGACGGTATTTCATTAGGTGTGCAAGGCTGCCACTAACAACAGGTTTATAAGGCCTAAGCTTGTGGTCTACACTGTGATTCTCCTTATGATAAACCACACTTTCAGACAGCACAAAAAAGTAACACAAATGACAGCACAAAAGAGATGAAAACAATGGTTTGGTTCAAACCATTTGGTTCTAAAATGCCAAAAAAATAGGAGACAATAACAAAACCAGAACACCAAACTTAGAATAAATAGCCAAGAAACTCAACACAGAGAGTACAGTTCAGACCTGGTGCAGACTTACCAAGTTATCCTTGGACTTGACAAGCAGCAAGCAGCAAGACACAAGGGGTGCTGCACCTGGTTCAAGGCTGGGGTCTGTGGTGATGAAAAGTGCAGACCTCATCTTCATGGAACCTCCAAGAAAACTATGGAAAGAAATAAAGATCACTCAAATGAGAACAAACAAATGCTATTGATTCAGAGCTTTCTAAGCAAGAGTCACCTACCATCACTTATGCTTGACAGAGACTCAAATGCAGGTTGAGTAGTGGGAAAACTCTCTACTGGAAAAAAAGGGAAGGCTTCAGGTATGTCAAATTGGAGGCTGTTGGCAGGGGGAAGCTGTAGGATAGCCAATTAGAAGAGTGCACTCTATGTGATGCATTAGGAGTAGATATTTGGTTTTCCATGTTGGTTACTTCTCCAATAAGTGCATGTGTGGCCCTCAGTAGGGTCACTTTCACCAGGCTTTCTTCGGAGTTCAAATTGGAGTGGCTTGTCCAAAAAGAGAGCTGAATCATGCATGGTCAGCTGGGGTGAGAAGTCTTCCTAGGCTTATAACAAGTCTTCAGGCTTGAGCTTGCAGTGGTTGTTAAAATCCTAGGGAGCAAAGGCCAGCTGAAATGCAAACTAGAGTTCCAGTAAGGATTTCGGCAATGAGGTTTTAGTTTTAGTTCTCAATGACTCCGAGGCAAGAGGAAGAGAGAAAAATGGAAAGATTGTTTTGGAGGCTGTTAATATTTCATAGCCAGATGCTAGAAGAAGCTGGAAGAATTGAAAATCTGATAAGGATTAACAATCTGTTCAAAGTGATAGGATCCAGTCCAATTTAGAAGTGGTACCGAACTGGGTTTTCCACAGGGAGAGAGAAAGCTCCACTACCAGGCAAGACAAAGTTTACATATTCGCCAGTTACCTGCAATTTACAACTAGGTGCAAAATAGCTCAAAGATAAATGACAAGGTTAAGAATCTGATAATCCAAATGGGTATGCTACAGTTTCCCACTGAAACACAAAAGCTCTTTCTATAGTCCCTCCCCGACACCCTTTTAATCAAAGACATTCTCAAAGAAAGATTATTCTTGATCACAAAATAAGATTGGTTTCATGAGATTTGACCTGGTTATTTACACAGTTGCAGCAAGAATGGCAATATGCATTTAGATTGTTTTACATTTGCTTTGCCTGGAGTTTTCATAGAGAATCTCAAATTGGACTTTTCAAAACCTCTTGATGATAAGATAGCAAGCCAAGAACTCACCATCAGATTTCCCCTGCAGTACCTATTGATTTGGCATGATTCCTCTCTTCTTGAGTCCCCCAAATAGCCTAAGATTCCTGAGCCTTCTGGGAAGTGCCCCTCTTTGCTCACCTGCAAAGCTGGGAACCCTGCAAAGCCAGGTATCAGGCCAGTTCTCACCAGAGGAGCTCTGTAAGCATTGGTCCCATACGGCCACCCTGAGTTCCTTAAATGTGTCTGGTCATATCTGCTTAAATAAGTGTCACTCTCAAATATGACATTCCAGGCAAAGCCTTGGTTGTATTACCAATGTTTCCAATTATGTCCTGTTAACAAGGAGGACAGATTCTTATTGCATCTATGCAAATAACTACACTGTCATGAAAATAAGAAGACTCAATAAAATTTTCAAAATTTGTGAGTGTGTGTTAAGCAGGAAAAGATAGAAGTTTCACTTTTGTTTACAAAAAACAAGTATAGTCTAAGAAACTGTTATGAGTGATAACTTAAGAGAAAAGAAAAAAGAGTTTCTTATACACAGAAAATAAAGCAATAAATATTATCAATATTTCAAACAAATATCACAATCATTTCTCATCTGCTCATTCAGTCTTATATAACTAATTGTTCCAGTAGATCTAGGGTTAGGTGTTTCAGGCTTTCATGAATGTATCTTCTTTTCAACTAGATGTCTGGAACACCTGATCAAGTCCAATGGTGTAATCTCATAGTTTTTAAAATAATGCTATTATAAATCTGAACCCTAGAGTATCTTGCATGATCTTTTTCCACCAAGCTCTAAGACAGTTCTTTGTTGAAGATAAGACACTCCGGTTTGCAGCTAATTGCAAGGATTTCATGGAGGCATCAGAGTCAAACAGAACAGACAAAACTACATGTAGATGACAAAAAACTAAAAATTGTTATTTTCTTATTGATAATTTTCAAAATTTAAAGATGTAAATAGAGCTCATTATAAAAATAATGCAATTGACAATCACATCTGCTTGTTTCTGTGACATACAAAACAAAATAAAGTCAATTGAAAAAGGTTTTAGACAAAATATCTATACACATGGTGTTTTAACAATATTTTCTAAGGAAAGTAGATATTACATCTAATTTATGAAAATGAATGTACATAATCTTTACAAAGAAAGCATTTTCAGATATAACATAAAAATCCGGAGACATTAGACGCCATATATCCCTAGCACATCATTAGAATTTCCAAACATATATCAAACCTGTCATGTAAATGAAATCAGTAAATTTAGAGTAGGTTCTAAACATCAATATATTAGCAAAACTGCATAGATAAGTGATGTGAATTCCCAGCAAAAAACTACTGGCCTCATTTATACTGGATTCAAATTAAAGAACTAAAGTTACGGCTGAGTTAATGTTTTAAAAAATTACTCAAATTGTGACTCAAAAAATTAAACTGTTGTTGTCTAATATTAGGCAAAGCAACCCCAGGACCCTGATAAATGGAAATATATCACAGACAGTGAAGACAGTCACAATTCTCTGGAATCTTTCCATGTAGAATACAGTTTTAAAGGTCTTTATATTAATAATATTTTACCCACGTAAATTTAACCTTGGAAATCTAAGCATCTCTTCTGATTTGACAATGCATCCCATGCATCTCATCATGAGCAACATACCAAATAACCCTAATTCTTTCTAACTCTTTTCTTTTTACAAGGTGAAAGAATAAACCGTTGTGATTTTCCACAGGTCATCTGGGAAATCTCAGAAGCAATTTTAAATGCTGGGGAGGCCAATCAGACTTTGCGCTTGACACAACTTTAGACTGGTTTCCTGAGGATCACTAGGACCTGTGCTCTGAGTTTCTCATGGTTTAACCACCTGTTGGCCCCATCTCAGGCACACACCCTGCCCCATATGCCTAACCACAAACCAACATATCCTGTCTCATCTTTCCTGTTAATGCAGTATTTAGTGATGTTTGTTAGGTTTCAAGAACTCCCCCCACCACCAGCTTTCCGCACCTCCCCCTTCTACTTTCCATCTCTACCTATTCCGGGAGTCTCTGCATTTAAAAGCTTTTCTCATTCATCCCTTCCCTGAGACATTTTTCAATTAGGCTTTGAGCATCTTTCTGTTATGACACTTCCCTCTTCCTACTGCAATACCCTCTTAAGAAAGTTTTTCCTTGTTAATGTCCAGAATGCACTTTTTTTCTTTACCAGTGATGGTGCCATGACTCGGACAAAATGCCGACTGCCCCTGGGCTCCTGCTTTCTTCACCCAACACGGTCTTCTCAGACTCCTTGCGCCTTTTCCTGGCTGGGGAAATCGGGATCCACAATGGTAAGTCAAGATTCCTAATGAGAGTTCCAGACATTTGTCCCTCACAGCATGGTAAAGGCTTGACTTTGTTTTTCTCTCATTGCTGTCTTTTTCTTCTGTCTTTCTATCTTTTCCTTCTGCCTTTTTGAGTGTGGTGAAAGCCCCTGACTCTCTCCCAGGCATCATACCTTGGTTTAAAGTCTCAAGATCTCTGAGGCAGAACTATCAATCTAATTGTTGTCCCCCAGACTCCTCCACTGTGGAGTATGCTTTTTGTCATTCTATACTAACTCCACCCAATTCTTCAAAAATGCCAAAATTTTACTAGAGATAACTTGAACTTCAATGGCCCTCTTTGGAGGAACCTAGGGTGTTCCCAAATTGTCCTGTTCTGTAAAGGGCTCTTGAATCCTGTGCCTTTGAGATCTCATTCGAGCAATGGACTGCTTGCTTTTTTGTTGTTGATATGCATTTGGTACAAAGAGAAAGAAATTACATCTCTTCTACACAAACATTTTAGAGACCATTGCTTCCCTCAAAAACCATCTTCCCTCCCCAACAACTTCTGAGACCTGTCTCTTCTCATCTCCTGCCACTCAATATCTCCTTTCTCCTTTTTCCATCTTCCCCTCAGCTCCCTGGAATCCTTGGACCTTCCCCCTACAACACCCTTACCTCTCCACCCCTCTGTCTTCCCTGCCAGAGCTTTTCCCTTTCACTCTGGCCCCTCAATTCCCTAAAGGTATAAGTTCCTGTTTCCGCTTTGGATGCTCTGGAGGAGCTCGGGGTACCAAGAGCAACAGCCTGAGGCTGAAAAGGCTAACTGGAAACTGACCTGACATTTAATCTACTTGGATGGGATTTGGAGACACCAGATGGCCACTTGGTCTCTCTTCTGTCCCTCCCTGAAATTTAGTCCACAGCCTCAACAGAATCACACATTAGGCCCAAGGACATGTTAAGAGATTCCTACACAAATATTGGTGAAGATGCTTCAGTCCTTATATTGAACAAGTTACTTCAAATTGCTCTATCTGCCAAAAAATATGATCGTTGTAAAAATGTAAAGGGAAGGGGGAAACAATGAGAGTCAGCTCCTTTGTATGAACCAGTGAGTTTTGTATTTCTGAGATTATGCTTGAATTATGGCTAAATTAAAGCTGTAAGATCTCTATTTATGTCTGTCTGTATGTTGATGTATATTTGTGTGTATGTATGCATGCACACACACATTGTGTTTGTGTAATATTTTGCTAACTCCAGATGATACCACCACATTAAATTACAAAATCCCTTAAAGGAGCTTCTTTGGATTGGCTTAGAAATAAATAAGAGCCTATTTAAATTCAACATCCTTAAACTTCCCAGAAATTTAGGAAATTAAATTTCTAATATAATCAATGTGAAAAAAGTATTCTTATAAAAACTTACCAAATTTTTTTAAAAATTCAAGCTCAAATAATTTAGATACACTTTTGCCAACTGAGAGTAATTTGATCTTGCTGATTTAATAAATATAGCTATGTCTTCTGGTTTGTCCATGTTGCAAGAATGCATTTTTACTCTACTTGAGTATTTTCCTCCTAAACTTATACAGACATACTGAATCTCTTTGCTTCATAATCTAGATATATTCTTGGTATATTCTAACCAGATGCCTGACATATTCATGGTATATTATGTCTCATGATTATATTATATCTGAATATTTTTTCTCTGTAAAAATTATGCCCATCCATTTTCATAAATTTGATGCAATATCCACTCTCCTTTGAAAATAAAATGAATCATTCACTATCTTTATATATAATTCTGTCTAAAACTTTTTGAAGTGACTTTAAGTGCCACAAGAACAATTAAAAGTTTTTGTTAATTGTATCACGTTTGTAGTGAACTTTCATCAGATCTTTTCTTTTAGAAATTATCAAAAATATGTTAACCATAGCTATTTTAAGTCTTTTGTCATCTATGAATGGCTTTCTGTTTTACTCTGATGCTTCCCAACAAACACTTCCAAATCATCCATAGACCAGAGAGGGCTTTGTCTTCAACAAAATAAAGAAACTGTCTCGGGTAACCACGGAAAAGGACTGTGTCAGGGACTCCTTGGCAAAGGTTTCTGATGGCATTGCTTAAATAGCTTTGGGACCACACCAATGGACTGAGTCAGGGGTTACAGAAATCTGCTTGAGAAAGCGATGGGTTCCTGAGACTGCTAATCCATGATCAAGCAGAACATAGATTAATTACATAGGACTGAAAGAACTGATGAGGGATGATTGTAGGCTTTGTTTGGAATAGTGCTATTGCTTTAATGTTTTATGTTCTGGATATGAGAGACCTCTTTCTCGTTTCTTTTAAGCTATCTATCACTCACAACAATTTCACAAACTACACTCACACTCATTTCTTTAAACAGAAATGAAACTTCTATCTTTTCCTCCCTGACTCACCTTCTCCAAATTTGAAAATTTTTATTAAGTATTCTTGTTTTCATGCCAATATAGTTATTTGCATAGATTCAAAAAGAGTCTGTCCTCCTTGTTAACAGGACATAATTGGAAACATTGGTAATACAACCAAGGCTTTGCCTGGAATGTCATATTTGAGAGTGACACTTATTTAAGCAGATATGACCAGACACATTTAAGGAACTCAGGGTGGCCGTATGGGACCAATGCTTACAGAGCTCCTCTGGTGAGAACTGGCCTGATACCTGGCTTTGCAGGGTTCCCAGCTTTGCAGGTGAGCAAAGAGGGGCACTTCCCAGAAGGCTCAGGAATCTTAGGCTATTTGGGGGACTCAAGAAGAGAGGAATCATGCCAAACCAATAGGTACTGCAGGGGAAATCTGATGGTGAGTTCTTGGCTTGCTATCTTATCATCAAGAGGTTTTGAAAAGTCCAATTTGAGATTCTCTATGAAAACTCCAGGCAAAGCAAATGTAAAACAATCTAAATGCATATTGCCATTCTTGCTGCAACTGTGTAAATAACCAGGTCAAATCTCATGAAACCAACCTTATTTTGTGATCAAGAATAATCTTTCTTTGAGAATGTCTTTGATTAAAAGGGTGTCGGGGAGGGACTATAGAAAGAGCTTTTGTGTTTCAGTGGGAAACTGTAGCATACCCATCTGGATTATCAGATTCTTAACCTTGTCATTTTTAATATTTGAGCTACTTTGTACTTCTTTTTTAAATTACAGTAACTCATGGATATGGAAACCCTGTCTTGCCTGGTGGAGATATAAGTGGCTTCCTCTCCCACTGTGGGAAAACCAGTTTTGATACCTATTTATAAATTGGACTTGGATCTATTACCTTGCACAAAATGTCAACTTTTACCAAATTTTCAAATCTTCCACTTTCTTTTAACATCTGGCTATAACCCTCCAAACTAACCTTCCATTTTTTCTCTCTTCCTCTTTACTTGTAATCACTGAGAACTAAAACCTTACTACCGAGATCCTGATTGAGATTGGAGATTGCCTTGTGGTTGGCTCTCAGGATCTGAAGAATCACAGCCAGCTCAGGCCTGATGACTTGCTATAAACCTGTCAAGACTAATCATTGCAGTAGACTATCGTGGGCCCTAATTTTCTCGGGACAAGCCACTCTCTGAACCATTGCAGAAGTCTGCCAAAATGCATGGTCACACATGTTCTCACAGGAGAGCTAACCCAGACTCTGGGCAATATGACCAAGAGCATCAAATAACACAAAGAGCCTTGCTGCATAATCAAAAGTTTTGTCCACTAACCTCTTGGAATCCCTGGAATGGATACCCTTGTGTTCAACTTGTCTTTTTTTACTTTAATATGCTCTTTTATATTAATATTTTATCTTATTTTTTTTAGGCATCCCACTTTTAAGAAGTCTGATCTGAAAAACACTGAAACAATTGGCCTTTGCTAGCATGCCTGACGGATGGTTTAACTGGTCCTCCAAGGACAACAGTAGTGAGCAAACTCTGGCCCCGAGACCATTGCACTCATTCATCTCCTCCTTGAGATACTCCTTATCCCTATGTTGTTCAGGGACAATCTTTCTGAGTCTGTCTTAAACAAGACTTGGGACTGACAAGGATGGTCCAACTTTGTCCTTGGCATAACTTTTGGCTGGTTTGCCTAAAACACCAAGTCCTCAACTTTATATGAACATCTTCCTGCAGTTTAATTTGTTCACTCTGTCTTAGATCCAGAGTCCCACCCTATGTGCCTGTCACAAACCTTACTTCCTACCTCAACTTTTCCATTGGTGCAATATTTGATGTAGTCCATTAAGTCTCAGTACTGCCCTTTCTCTGACATACACAAGCTTTTGGAATCCCATACCTCTTCCACTTTCCACAGGTCCTTATCCTGGGGTCTCTGCATATAAACATTGTGTTTGCTCACCCCTTGCCTGAGTCTTTCCTGGTTTAGATTGTGAGCATTTTCATACTGCAATAGTCTCCGTTAGTCATGTTTTTCTCACTCAACTGCAGACTTGTATATGTTTTTATCTTGGCAATGCAAAAGATATCATTTAAAATTTGATTTAGGGAAGGTAAAATATTAAAAGTTGTCAAGAAATTTGAATAATTAATTAAATAGTATAATGGATTGCTGAGAAATAATACTTGATTATATAATCAAAATGACATTAAAAGATTTTTAAATTATATATAGGAGGTAACATGATTATAAACAACTTTAGCTCAATTAAATGATTTTGTCCTCTTAAAAAAATCACGGACATGATAAAGTCAATGCAAAGCACAAAATTCATTCTAATAAGATCTGGAATGTCTTCTAGGCAGATTACTCAGAAGGTAAAAAAAAAAAAAAGTCTTTTGTAAGCTCTTATTAAGAAAACACCACTAATCCAAAAAAATATATCATTTTAGTAGAGAGAAAACCCAATTCAAGTTTTAAATCAGTATAATATTTGATACTAATGCTATTACTAAAATTCTTATAAACAAATCCATTAAACTTTATACAGATTTGGTTGTAAGAAGTAAATAAAATAGTTTTTCC